ACTATATAGGGGACAGGGAACGATTCAAACAGTGTAAATATGCTTTCCATTGAGGAAAAAAAGAAGTCTGGTTTCGCGCTGTCATGCTAACTACCGCACCGCACACACACTCTGCTCCGGTCCAGAGACACTATAGCACCGAGCGGATCACATGCGCGAGTCGGCGCAGACCACAAAATGTATCGGAGCTATTTGAATTCTACACAGAATGCTATATTTTATAGCAATATGGATGAGATTGTGGCTGGCATACCCTGTCAAATGCGGCTTTACGGAGTTCAATGGCTCTGAACGGCTCTAGCCCAAGCTGTGATATAAACAAACGCTATTGGCTATTTTAAAAAGGGGCGGGGTTGCTTTATATGTCCCGCCCTGTCTTCCTGTTTCAGTTAAAATGACTCAACACAGAGTAACACTGCATGTTTCTAAGCATTTCAGGGGACCTTTAACCACTAGAGCGCCAAAAGTTACATAGTGCTGCTTTAATGAATGCAATTAATATATTTTATGGTCATTCATTTGTTTAATAGAAAAAAATCACTTTAGAATTGCCACAATTTGTAATATGTATATTTATATTTTTTCTTGTTGGCTGTCTCTGTTCATTGATGATGGATTGTTGATTCCCCCTGCTGGTTATTGGTGTGTAATGCATCTATAGGCCTACTCAGTTTAGCACAATGGCTATCATTTCTTTAGTAAACTTACAGATTTTGGAGGGAGTGTTTGTTTGTCTTCATATTGGAAATATTGTTTTCCCACAATTGTTAATAGCAGTGTTTGCCAAGATATTTATAAAATAAATATCTCCATATATGAACATGCAGTGTTCAATATGCTGATGCTGAGCAAACAAGATACTTATTGCATCTGTGAAAGATGAAAGGAATATGATTTATTGATTTTTATTTAGGGGTAAATTTCCACTGTTTCCACTGTGTAAAGTAGGCTGCCTGGTACTTTTTTCAGTACCACCTCGGCTGAGGTTCCAAGTGAGCCATACCGTTACCACAATGTGACGTGTAAACCCTGCTGATCACTGATTTGCCAGAGATAATCGCCACTACCTGCGTCATTGAACTTGCGACACGAGACACGACTAGACCCACTAGATTAAATCAGCACAGCCAGTGAGGATCGAACGAAACTTTTTTTTAAACGAACGCAACAGTTTCGAACGAGCGCACCTTTTTTAAACAACAAAATAATGTCTGTTTCGTGGTCTGTTGTGGAAGTACAGACTTTCCTCTCGTTGATTGCCGAGGAGCGGATCCAGCGAAAGCTTGATGGGACGACGCAGAATCAAAATGTTTTTCAGGAGGTCATGTCAGTAGAGGCGGCGCAACTATAATGACATGCAGTTTTGCCAACTAATTTTTAGGGGAAGTTGCTAAAGGAAGGTCAATTTGTTGCTAAAATTTGCTAAATGACGTTGTGATGTCACTGCACGATGACAATTGTCACTACTTAAAATCTCAGCAAAAAATATTTTATATAGGCCCTATGTTAATTTAGATTTGTTTGTAAAATAATATAATGTAATATAATATTAAAATATAAATAACTGTATTTTTAAATACAACATTGAATTATTGAACACTTACACATTTTTGAACAATTAGGGCCTACAGTTTAAGTTTGTTTTTATTAGCTAGTAAACTAGTAAAACTACACATTCTGAACAATTATAGTTTTAAGCAGTGTATTAGCAGTTAGTTAGTATGCTACACTCTGTAAAATATCTGTAAAAATCGGTCACAATCTACTATATGAAGGAATTTTCCATATTGATTTTTCACAGGTTTTTTATCTGCATTTTAAATTCCGCATTGTATTTTGTGTTTTCGGGTTACAGGGTTACAATGGCTAATGAATAATGGATAACGGATAATGTCCTGGAAAATTACTAGTATCTTTTCCATTTTTCAAGATATTTTTCTTACAGTGTACTAACTGATCAACAATCACAGGTACAAGCTACTAACAAGGTGTATCATAAATTAACAATTATTAAATTATTATTATTAAATTGAGCAATTGCTAATAGCAGCTAACTTAATTCATGCGATGTGTGTACAGCTAGGCATCTTTGGTTTCCTCATTTTGTGCAATTTAGATGGAAAATGTGTGCCTTTTTATCTTTAGAGTCACTTATCAAAAGTTGCTAAAAGTTGCCAAATAAATGTTAAAAATGGCTAAATTTGTTGCTAGGTGCTTTTGGAAGAAAAAGTTGCTAGGGTAGTGTGAAAAGTTGCTAAATTTAGCAACAAAATTGCTAAATTGGTAACACTAACATGTCTATAATCCCACCCACTCTAAAGCAGTACTAAACTGCAGTGGAAACGCAAACTGCGCCAAGCCGTACCATGCAGTGGAAAAGTGCCAATATTTTTATTTTTTTTGTATAACTTTTAATTCATCAACACAATGACTTGAATACCTCTATAATCAATGGATTTCTGAATAAAACTTAATTTAGAAATGTTTTGTGTGGCCATTACAAAAAGTACAAAAACTTCATCCCAAGGGCAATGTGTGGAGAAGAGCAAGGAGAGGAACCAGATTACAGTCAAATAAAGCCTATATTGAGTCTCAAGCACTGTCCACACTTGGGCTTCACAAATCTTTATTGAAAAGGATTTAAACAATATTTCACACTTTTTTTTCCCCAATTAATTATAAATAATTATTGCACATACACGCGTGGAACAGTTTGAGACACTCACGGTTTATAGGCAGTAGATTATAATAATTTAGGACACAGTAAAGAGACCTTTCTACTGATTCCAATAAAAAAAAGATAGATCACAGAAGATAGATGTCCAGGGTCCCTGATCATCTGGTTGAACATGCCATAGTCCTGCTGCAAAGAGACATGAGGACTGTTTATGTGGCCAGAACAATAAACTGCAATGACCATAATGTACTGTAAGAGGCCTATAGGACAGTGCTACAGGGAGACAAGGACAGCTGATCATTCTTGCAATGGCAAACCATGTGTCCCCCCCAGACATGTTTGAGAACTTGCAAGTGCCTTGGTGGAAAAGTGGGGTAATATCTCACAGTGAGAAGTAGCAAATCTCCATGTCCATGAGGATGTGATGCACTGTAGTGCTTAAAGCAGCCAGTGGCAACACACCATACTTACTGTAACTTTTGAAATTGACCCCCCTCTCTGTTCAGAGATTCATCCCACTTGTTTAAACGTCATTAAAACATCTGTTTGACTTTGTAAAAACACTGACCTGTAAAGATATGGAAATAAAAGCAGTTTAAAAGAAAAAGGAAAAAAAAAACAAAAACAAAAAACCTTAGGATTTATATGCACACCATGACAAGCAACTGGAGAAACACCCACTAGTGATGTCAATGTACAATCAACCTGTAGAGGACACCGGAACTAGTTACCCATGATTTTTGCATAACCAGTCTGCAATCACACCTTGAACCAAGCAGTTGTAATCAGTACATAAGAGCTTTTTAAATTTAAACCATTTACATAACCACAGGGAACACCAAACAAAGAAAACTGAAGAGGCGGTGAATGTGCCAACAATGGAACATCACTGGTCAAAGATAATGAACTACCAGTAGACAAGCATTTCGTCACCCCTTCCTAGAAGACATCATATACCTAACATTAAATAGTAATGCATCAGTAGACCACATTAAAGCCCTCGCCGATTTAGACTGCCGAAAAATGACCCAACGAACTACAAAGTTTAAGCGATCTATTGTTTCGTGAAAAACAAAAAACAAAAAAAAAAAACCCCACACTAAATGAAGTTACATCAACTATGCAGCTATGACTTCACTTGCTGCAACAGCCTCAACATGCCTGGTGATAAGCGCTCGTTTTGAGTAGTCTGGGAGCACAGTGGTGCTGTATTCTGAAGGTCAGGCTGCAACACGGACTCATAGCTTGAAGCAAGTTGTACATTACTGGGTTGCGCTAGGGGTTGGGAACCAAAACTGGAAAGAGACACATAACTTGACTGCTCTGGCATAGAAGACAGCTGGAATCCAGGCTGAAGAGACACAGATTGGCCACTGGGCTGGGACACAGACTCGTAGTGAGCTTGCACTGACTGGTAGCTGGCTTGTGCTGACTGCAGGCCACTGGGTTGGGAGACAGGTTGGTATCGGGTCAGTCCTGGTTTTTGGCCACTAGGTGGTTGCATAGACTGGTAGCTGGCTTGAGCTGACTGCAATCCACTAGGCTGTGAGATGGGCTGGTATTGGATCCGTCCTGGCTTTTGGCCACCAGGCTGGGGCACAAACTGGTAGCGTGTTTGGGCTGACTGCAGGACACTGGGCTGAGAGACAGGCTGGTATCGGGTCAGTCCTGGTTTTTGGCCACTAGGCTGTTGCATAGACTGGTAGCTGGCTTGTGCTGACTGCTGGCCACTAGACTGGTCCACAAATTGAGAGATGGGTTGTTCAGAACGTTGGCTGCTGGCTTGATATGACTGTTGGATGCTGGGCTGGGCCATAGGTTGGTAGCCTGCCTGTGCTGGTTGTACACTGCTGGCCTGAACTCTGGATTCATAATGTGACCCATGGCTGCCCTGCACTAACTGGTAACCAGGTAGGGAGGACGGATTTTGTCGCTGCACAGGCTTGAATACAAAACCAGAACTTGAAGTCTGGACTGGCCTGGTACCAGAAAAGAACTCAGAACCAACATGTGCAAGTCTCCCTTTCTGGGGTTTGATAAATGGCTGTTGGGCAGTGGACTGGGAGCTGGTCTGCATTGGTTGCTGGCTACTAGACACTACAGACTCCCTACTAGTCTGCACAGGAGTTTGAGAACTGAGCTGTGCTGGCTGGGGTACAGACTCACGGTTTACACTTGTACCCAATGCAGTTGCCACAGAACCAGAAACAAGACAGCCACTACCAGCTAAAGATATCAGAGAACCTTGAAGTTGATTTCTAGCATTAGAGTCAGAACCAAACATAGGAACACTTGTCACTGGACCAGAGACAAAAGAGACTGTTTGAGGGCTATAGCTTACACTGCTATATACACCCCTAGCTGCAGCACTGTAAGGGATATTCTTGGATCTTAGAGGCTCGATGGAATCGGATGCATCTCCTTGGCCATACCAGCTGGAATTGTGGTTTCACAACATCCTGCAAAGGGGGACCAGCCTCATAGTATCCAGGATAACCTGCACTGCGGACAAAGCCATCAACCAAGGAGAAAGGGGGAAAAAAATAAGTCAAAGGGACATGTTGATAAACTTGGATTACAGAACTTGACTGAATAAAACTAACCACTTCCAATTTGCCCATGGACACAGAGACTGAGAAAGGCCAAAGAAATTCTGTAAAACAAGACTTGTCTTTAGTATTTGATAGAACAAAGATAAAACAAAAATTGATTTAAGATCATACCTTAAGAAACGTATAGTGGTGTCCTCCATATCCAGCTAGAAATACACCAGTTCCCTACCTCAACACCACCAATACAGAACCATAAAACACACACTATACTCCAACACATATTATTGTTACTGAACTGTTCCTTTATAGTGCCTGCACCTGCCATTTACCTGTTGTTTCCTGATAATCAGTTGTCATGGAAACGTGTAATATGCAATTATTAGGTTCAGGTGTTACAGCTCTGATCATGACAACCACTGTTTCATTCCCCAGTCATGAGAACTACAAACAATGAAGATAAAACAGCAACATCAATTGCACACCTTTAATTTTACAGAGAATTGAGTTGGGTTTCTTATGAGGATAATATTATATAGGCCCTATTTAAACCCTGGTATTAAGATCTGTCTCTGATAGGGGGAAATGTTCACCAGTGGTCATATGTTAACATACGTCTCAAATGTATCTCCCATGATCACTTGTTTTTCAGGCTTCTAGTGAAGGGTCTGATTTTGTTATATATATGAGCACATATATCATTCACATCACTGTGTTACTGTTTGTTGATAACTGTTCTTCTAAATGTACTTTAATTTTAATCGAACCTTCTTGTTCATGTGCATATAAATGTGCATTTCCAAATGTTTCGATTGGACGATTATTGTTGTTTAAAGCTGCAAGTAATCTGCAAACTTTATAAGCTTTCTTTAGATCAGGGGATGATTAACAGGTAAGTAGGTAGTTCTTCGCTGATGTAGGGGGAGGAAATTATTATTCACGATAAAGACGACCATTCAGGTGCAGCACCCCTTATGAATATTAATTCCCACAAGTTTAGAAATTCTTGTTCCAGCATTTTAGGATCTATAATTATTTCACTTTGCACTCTGTGTTTTTGCTTAATGGACCATATTCATATTTACATTTCTGTGTAAATGTTTAATAAATCTATATGTACATAATTTGCAATTCGTATTTATTCTACTTAACTGAATGCAACAATTTGCCTAAGAAATTAGGCACTGAAATGTTACATACCATCTACACAAAAATATTTAATGTATGTATGTATGTATACATATGTATGTTTTAAAGACCAGTGTTTTAATTAAAAAGAATTATAAAAGAAATCTCTAATAAGGTTTAATTTTTTTAAGTTAATTCTCAAATGTTTACAAAATCACGTGGTAGAAATTGTAAATTGAAATATTTGAAAATGTATATTTGAAAAAAAAAAATGTTTTTCAAACAATCATGAATTTTTTTATGTAGTTATATATGTTAATATTTTATGTATTGTGATATATCTAATTCTATTGTGTATTGCAGAGTTTGCACAATGTTGAATGGTCACCCACTTAGCTAATACTCTTTGTTCCACTTTTGGCCAGCTTGGAGATGCTGTAATCCCTGTTGCTCTTTCTGTCTTTCTCTCTCCCTCCCTCCTTTCTTCTCCAGGCTTGCCATTCTCTGTTTTTTCCTTTAGCCTTCTAGACCCTGCCTCTTGGTCATCTAACTTGACTTTAATTGGACGACAAGCCTGCCAGCAGCTCAGCCATTGGTGGAGCTTAACAGCCATTATGCTTGTTCAGAAGGGCTGTAACTGTCCAACAGCAGGAGAGGGAAGAATGAGTGAAAAGAAGGGAGTGACAGAAGCCGGGGGAAGAGGGGGGCTGATTCAGCTGAGAGCAAGGAGGAGTGGAGCCGTTAGTGCACGGAGTAAGGAACTTGCTGCCTGTGGGAAAGTAAACAGCACAGGGTATTTGCCGCCCTCTCAGAGGCCTCAGTCCGGCAGCAGTGGATAAATGGAGGATGAGGATGTGTTCAAGGAGGCAGCTGATTTCATAGCAGGAAGTGCATGGGAGGTTGTTGGGATTAAAGTCCTTCTTGGGAGGTGCTGAAGCTTTCCTGTGGAAGTACTACTGAAGACAAAAAAGGTGAGTTGTGCTGTTTATTGGTCTATCAATTTCACTTTTTTCTTGCACACTAATACTCTAAGTTTGCTTCCTGTTCATGCAACAAAGGCAGGGGCACCATGAAAAGGGGTCTTTTCTCTAGAGTGGGGGTAGGAGAAGAGAAGACAGAAGAGGAGGCTGTGCACGCTCTCTAATTTCAGTGGCTCATTGGGAAACAGTGGGATCTTACTAAACCCCAAAGAGACACTTTCACAGGCAGTTAAAACCCCCCAAAATAGTTCACCCCAAAAAAGAAAATTCTGTGATTTTTACTCACCCTCATGTCATTCCAGACATTGTATGACCTTCAGTGGAACACAAAAGATGATATTTTGATACATTTCAAATGGTTTTGTCTATACAATGGAAGTCCCGTACTGAGACATTTTTTATTATCTACTTTTTCTCTGGTTCAGACGAATGAAAGGTTGGAAACGATATGAAGGTGATTCAATGAATTTTGGGGTGAACTATCCCTTTAACCCAGTGCTAACCAGCAGAACTTCTGACACAGATGCAACTCTGAGGTGCAAACGCTAACTGGGAATTGTCGAATATTTTCAAACTCCATGTACAGTACATCCATATATCTGATTTAGAGAGAAATTAGAGCAGCTTTTTATGGACTAATTCCAACATAAGATTCATAATCACACACTTTGTATAGTACTGAGGGGCCTCACATCCCTAGTACTCCTAATCTGCATCTAGATGCCACTCAACTTTCACCGACTTCCTTTTACATTTCCAGAATTAGATAGTTTAAAAATGGGCTGAGTTCCGTTTCCCTCCGTTTTTCTCTAAGACAGTTCAGCATCATTAGCAGTCCATGCAAGTCCGAGAGAGAGCTGCAGTACAAATGCACCCTGTCAGTGGTCTCTCCAAACCAAAGGGGGTTTTGGGCCCTCTGGGATGACAGAGGCATATGTACAATCGCAGGGGCCTCCTAGCAGAAGTGATACTGAATATTGGGTGGAGGGAGCTCCGTCCACATGAATTTAGAATTTGAAGGTTCCCCGTCTAAGGCGTGTGAGAATGTCCTCAGACAGTGAAAGGTGTTGTATGAAGCCCTCTGCCCTGTTTGAGAACACATTACACAACAGCATGAGAAAAATGAAACACTATATGTTCAGAAGGTGAAAGAGGAGCTTGTGCTTTTTATGTGTTTGTTTCTATAGACGTAAAGGCAGAATTGAACAGATCTTTTTAATCTGTGCACGCCAAACCACATGCTTTGAAGGTTTGAGTATGTGAATGAACAATGGCATGTTACATGACCCTCTTTGTTGTGTGTTTTATGGTTATACTGTGTTTTGGCATCACTATTATCAGGTGGCCAATGGAATTCTTTGCTTCAGTCATTTACACATGGTGACTCTGTATTTTATTTTAAATTCGCAATGAAACGGAAGTAGAAACAGACGTTTTTTTCTGTATTGTTTTATATACCCGAGTGTAATAGATTATCAAAAAAAAAAAGTAGTGTGGGACTTGTATCAGTTGTTGATGGATTTTGAGATGTGGGCATTCCACTCAAAAGCAGAGGCGGACAAAGTACACAACTCCATTACTTAAGTGAAAGTACAGATACTGCTGGTCAAATATTACTCCATTACAAGTAAAAGTTGTAAAGAAAGATTTTTACTTAAGAGAGTTTTTAGAATGTTAAAAACCTATGGGGAAAAAAAACAACAACAACAGAAAAATTATTATTTAACACCCATACCCACCCCCACAAAAGCAGGATGGTAGTGATCTTACACAGCTCTGGATAAACTGTCTGAAAAAAAGAAAGTCACGTTTTAGAGAATAAAAAAATTCACACACTGACTTTCAAAGCTGCTACATAGTAACGACTTTCTACTTCGAGGACCTTGATAGAGATGTAGTGGAGTGAAAAGTACAATATCTGTCTTTCAAATGTAGTGAAGTTAAAGTCATAAGTTTCCAGAAAAAATAATACTCAAGTAAAGTACAGATACTCAAAAAGTGTACTTAAGTACAATACTCAAGTAAATGTACTTAGTTACTGTCCGCCTCTGCTCGAAAGTGAATGCAAATGAACTCAAGCGGATCAGAGAAGTCATGCACACGTCAGAGAGAAGTCTGTTGTTTTCACTGCAAGGCCCAGTTATGATAATATTATTGACTTAACAGCACTTATACTATCAGATAAGAACAAAATTTTAACTGAATTGAGCTAGATAATGACACTAACTTTGCAAAATCACACTGTTGTTGAACTGAATTTAATCAAGATTGACTTGAGCTGAATAATAGCAAAGCTGCTTTACTTGTGTCAAAATTGATGAACTTTGCATCACTGACAATTATTGAACTGAATTGGAACAACACTGAACTAAATCAAGCCAAATAATGACACTATTATCTTCTTTAGAGCTGCTTTACAGCTCAATTTTTTTTGTTCGTAACTGATTAATTTTTACAACATTATCACTGTTATTTTTCTGTTTATTAATGTGAATCTGCTTTTAAACAATCTGTATTGTATAAAGGAGTGAATTTTCATTTCACGCTGAATTTAACATACTATTAATTCAAAAGTGCATTATAGGCAACACCAAAGATGAATAATGCATCCTTGCATGTCTGTGGTCTGCAGAATCCCCTACTGCTGAGCTGGCACATTTTGAGTATGTGCAATTGTGACAATAGAGGACATGTAGAGGTTTGTACACAGTCCAGCTGTTTAAATAGATGGGTAAGGTGCAGATTCCATGGAACCTGCCATTAAGTCAGAACACACTGGTGTTATTGTACATATATCCTGCACCTTTTGTCTGTGAGCTAAAATTAAAAAGGTAAAAGCAAGATAAATATACACATGAAAAAAGACATACAGTAGCAAATTGCAACACAACCTTTTTTTATAATCTGACATTATGTATTTTAAGATTTTGCAGTGTATTCATTCATGCCGAGCACATGTCCAAGTTTAATACCCTGTGGACGAGGATGACATCATTACTCTGTATGAATCACTGTCGGCATATCGCTGAGCTGTCTTGTGATAACTCCAGCTATCTCATGTGACGGACTCTTGGGACATTGATAAGAAGTGAAAAAGGAAGTTTCCTCCTTGAGTTGATACACTGCTGCCTCCATAGTTTTATTATAGCAAGTACCAGTGGTTGTCAGCTGGTTGTATGCAACTCAAAACTGGGTAGCAGGAAAACAGTACTAAAGCAAATATATAATATAATAATGTACAAAAGTTGCTTAAATACAGTAAATATTCTTATATCAATCAATAACAATGTAAATTATGTTATGTTATCAAAATGCTGTTGCTGTTGTCAAAATCAGCAGGCGTACATACATTGTGACATAGATACTTCCTGAAGAGAGTGAATAATCCACTAGGGGGCAGAATATGTAGTATTTTGTAGTTTTTCAGGAAGGTATTGATTGTGTTGATGTGGAGGCCTTAAAAATGAATGTATCCAATATGATACAGTACATTTGGCATTATAGGGTTAAAAAAGGAGGAGAAAAGACTTTTTATTTTATTGGGATTACATGGAAAAAAATTAATCTGTCACTTACTGTAGTTTAAGATAGGCAAGTTAGACAGATGCAAACAGAGGGTAGGGTCCTGTGTTGTCAATCATATTTATTATTGATTTACAAATCAATAAAAGATTGATTTCTCTTTCATATTTCAGTAGACTTCATGGAGTTCTCAGGTGTGTTTCAATATTAATTTTGTCTCAGATGTGTCTCCTAAAATACAGTAATAGAATCAAGCTATATAATTAATGTGATGAGTCCAATTATTCATTTAATCCTAATCTCTTTTGATATTTCTTTTCTATGAGACTTTTTCTCCCAATAGAGCACAACTGACAGTAGTTTTGAATACCCATGCTATGTGCTTTGAATATTGATGCAGACTGGCCTTAACTAATGCACTGTCAATACCAGTCTGCATCAATACTTTTTAATGTCAATCATAATGCTGCATTACTCCACGAGCAAATCAGTTTACTTTCTGCTTCATAAAAAAATCTAATCGGAGGGAGACTGTGCACATACTTGTGTGCCATCAGCCAATCAGCGTCGTCATGATGTCAATTTCCTGTGGTTCTCCTTGGTTAAGACTGTCATGTCATACATTGCTATCAGAAATGGATGAAATATTGGAGACAGATGATCCTTTCTCTTCAGCGGTGCTTGGTCCCACCATTTTTCACATCACATATCACTGACCTTTTGACTTGTGATCTAACAAACAGCCAGGCATTCCTCATGATGAATGCAGAAACAATGCTTTGTGAGTTTGTTCAAAGGTCTCATCACAAGAGTGCCATTGTGTGTGGTGTAACATGAAGTGGGTTGGCTGGAGAAACTGTGTTTATGGTCCACTGTAAGGGATGGTCCACTTTATCAGAATTGACACACATGAATAGGGTTACTGAAAAAACATGTCTCTTGTTTTTCAGGCTCCATTCATTACATTAGCATTTTTGTAATTGATTCAGTATTTGAATAAACATATAGGCAAACAACTTGTTGTTAGGTCTTCAAACAACCTTGACTTAAAGTGATGGTGTCCATTGTACAAAAGATATATAAGTAACTATTGATTATTAAATATTCTAGCGAGCCTGGGTTAATTAGTGATGTGTTATAGTTATGTAAAGTCTAAGCAAGTGGATGAGGTAAAAAAAAATCTGATGGTACTTTTTTCTCTTGTGGTTGCGGCTCGCATCAAGTTCAAGACATTGATGCTTGCATGTAGAACAGCCACAGGCTCAGCACCCGCCTACTTCCACTCAGTACTACGAATCTACATCCCCTCCAGAAGTCTGAGATCCGCTAGTGAGCGACGCCTCATGCTACCATCACAGAGAGGCTCAAAATCACTTTCCAGAACATTCTCGTTCACCATTCCTGGCTGGTGCAAGGATCTTCCCACCCCTATCCGGAATGCTGAATCCCTGACAATTTTCAAGCGACAGCTGAAAACTCATCTCTTTCAACGATACTTGACTTCATCTTAAATAAAAATTAAAAAAAAACTTTGTCTTTCTCTTTATTTATTCCTTTCCTTCCTAGCTTGTACTTATTTGAACAATGCCTAAAACTTGGTATTACAAGCACTTCCTGTGTCTGTTTGCCTCTTTAAGAAGAATCGCTTTATGCATTCTCCAATTGTATGTCGCTTTGGATAAAAGCGTCTGCAAAATGACTAAAATAAATGTAAATGTTGTGGACATATTATTATGCAAACCAATTTTTATAGTCCTTTAGGCTTATAATCTTCTATTGCAAACATAGATTTTGGATAATAAATAAACAAACATCAATACATAACTGACATTCAGCTTTGTATGCCTGGTTGTGACATCATTTGTGTTCTGCAGAGAAAACCTTATTAGCTGTAAACTATTCCCTTATCCCTGCAGTTTTGCAAATAATCCAAGTAATTCCTGTACAATCATCTCCTCGTGGACAGTGAGGTCATCTACCAAAAGGCAATATCAGCAAACGTGTCACTGCATGGAATTGTGCCAACAAAGGAAACAATTGTGAGGTCATTAAACTGCAAAATGTGGGATGAGGGAGTATTTTGTCTTTAATTAATGGTGCAACTCATTAAATGAAGCTCTTTTTTTTTGACAGTTACATAGACGTGATAACGAAGGAATGTTTAATAAACTGTGTATAGTGCTTTAGGAGGGGGAGGAAAACCTCCCAAATGCAAAATCACTAAATTCCAAAGCAGGCTTGCCTGTAATTGCAACTTGATGACATCATTTTCATGTTATCTTATAGTGTTATGGTCCAAAATATTATGTCCCAGTGATGTACAAACTTGCATTTCATACAATAATGTAATTTACAAAAATATATATTTTTATTTTCAATGTGTAAACAAAGAGTAGGTGGTGTAAACGTAAAAAAAGACTTCATGCCTTAAATATTAATCATATGTCTTATATATATACACACTTTATAGAAGCGCAAGTAAAAGACCTACACACAGTGTAACATGTACAGAGTAACATTTGACTTTTTTTTTTTACAGAGCCTATGTCCAAAGCTTCATCTCACCAGTACCTGGAGAAGGATGTGGAGGAAGAAGAGCAGAGAGAAAATATTAAATTCAAAGATGAGATTGGCAAACAAAAGGGCAAGACTACCTTTGGAGAGGAGACTGCAAAATGCAGTGAGCCTCAGACACATTTAAGTGAATTGGAAGTGACTCAGGAAAAACATTCAGATAACTTATCCCAAACAGTCACTACCGTTTCCCCTGCTGGTCAGGAGTGTACCAGTCATTATAACACTAGTAAGTTTCTATTTTCAGTCATTTTCACACATCTTGTTAACCTGGGAAATCATTTGGTATTGGGAATTACTGAACTACAGTACATGCTGGGGAACTTTTACTATTTTAAGGCAAGCTCTTACTATACTTAGCCAGAGAGCTTACCATTTTGGCATATACCTGCTTAAAAGTTAAGGCCAGGATTCACAGACAGGGATTAGATAAAACCCAGGACTAGATTGCAGTTCAATTAGGACATTTAACACGATTTTACGGATGTGCATTTAAAAAAAAAAAAAAAAAAAAAAAAAAAAAAAAGCCAAAACCATGGCACTGACAACAAGATGTCAGTGCAAGTTTCAGTTAATACAGCTCAGACATGCATTTTAGTTTGGGACTAGGCTTAAGCCTTGTCTATGAAACCAGGGGTAGAAGTTATGTTCAATGGAACGGTTATATCAGCCAACTAACTCAACTACTAGATGTGCAAAATCCTCACATTTTTCCACCCAATTTCTTTACAGATTTGAAAACCACCAACAAAAGGTAAGACAGTTAGTCTTCACTTAAAAACCCACACAAATACACTTGCTAATGACATTTTATTGATACTTTCAAAACGAACATTATCCACAACCAGAAAACTGCAAACACAAGTAAACAGCTATGACTTCACTTGTTGCAACAACCTGGATCTGCTTTGGGACAAATGCTGGCTACTTTGAGCTGGTCCAGGAGCATTCTGGTTTGTGACGGGCTGATAATTCAGTGCTGGATACTGAAGCCCAGGTTGCACTGACTGAGACACAGACTCATAGCTTGAAATAAAGCGACTACTGGGCTGCACCAGGGCTTGGGAACTTGATCTGGATACAGATTGGTAACCTGACTGCCCAGGCATAGATGTTTGGAAACCAGGCTGCGATACCGTTTCATAACTTGACTGTACCTGGGGCTTGTACCGAGACTGCACTGGAATGACTGGGGATAAGTAGCCAGACTGAGCTAGTGACTGGCGGCTAGGCAGCATTTGAGGCTGGGAACCGGACTGCCCTGCCATAGAAGACATCAGGTATCCAGACTGAGAGATGGTCTCAGAACTTGACTGTGCCTGGTATCCGGATTGTTTTGGCATGACTGGGGAAGAGTAGCCAGACTGAGCTAGTGACTGGTGGTTAGGCAACATTTGAGGCTGGTAGATAGATGGTTCTAGCTTGCTTGAGGGTTTGTAGCTGGATTGCACAGGCTTAACTAGGGGCTGATACACATCTTGCCTTGGCTTGGCCAGAGGTTGGTAGCCAGGCTGTTGCAATTGCCTCAAAGGTCCAGATTGCAGTCCACTGAGCTGTGATACAGAACCATAACTGGGCAGTCTGTGCTTAGCAAGAGGCTGTCGGCTTGGAATAACTGGAGGCTGGTAGCTAGGCTGTTCAGGCAGTTGTGCTAGTCTGAAAGTGGACTGGAGTGTTGATTGCAGTGGTCCAGGAGGGACATGGCTGCTGGGTGACACCACAGACACATAGGTGTCCTGCCCATGCTTTACTGGGGCCTGGTAACTAGGTTGTACAACAGGTTTGATGCTCTGAGCTAAGGATGGAGATGCTGGTCTGGATGGAGGCTGATATTCAGTCCATCCTGGTTGGGCTGCAAGCTGGTAACTGGGCTGCAATACATACTCCTGGCATGAATAAAGTTTGGCGCCAACCTGATAAAGTTGTCCCCCTTGGGCCTGCAGTGACCTGAAAACAGTTTGTTCACCGTGCTGGACTGCAGACTGGTAGCGGGATAGTGCTGTTTGCAGGCTGCTTGGCGGCGTCACAGAGTAGCTGGCTTGTGGTGACTGTTGGCTGCTGACTTGTGCAACTTGTGGCCTAACCGTTTGGGACACAGACTGATAGCTGGCTTGCACTGGTTTTAAGACACTTGGCTGAGCCACAGACTGGTAGCTGGTGTGTGCTGCTTGCAAGCCACTGGACTGGGCCACAGACTGGTAGCTGGCGTGTGCTGGTTGTTGGACAGTAGTCTGGGCCACTGACTGGTAGCTGGCTTGTGCTGGTCGTTGGCTACTGGACTGAACTACAGAGCTATGACTTGGATTCTGGAGTGGCCTGGTAACAGAAAAGAGCTTAGAACCAAATTGAAGCCTACCGTTATGGGGCTTGAAAAGAGTCAGGCTACTGGGCTGTGCCACATACATATAGCTGCCCTGTGCCAGTTGCGGTCCACTGGACTGAACCGATTGGCTGGCCTGAACTAGTTGCTGGCTGGAGGTTTGGGCTACAGACTGGCCACTGCCTTGAACTGGTTGTTGGATGCTGGGCTGGGACACTGACAAGTCAACGGCCTGAGGGAGTTGCTGGCTGCTGAGCTGAGCCACAGATAGATAGCTGGCCTGTACTCCTTGTAGTCCACTGGGCTGAGAACTGGCTTGAGCTAGTTGTTGGCTGCTGGGTTGAACCACAGACAGGTCAGTGGCCTGTGGGAATTGCTGGCTGCTGGCCTGGGCAACAGACTGAGAGCTGGCCTGTTCTAGTAGTTGGCTGCTGGGCTGAACCACATGCAGGTCAGTGGCTTGTGCTGGTTGTTGGATACTGGACTGAGACACAGATGGGTAACCGGCTTCTGCTGATGCTGTTTGCTGGACCACTGACTGGTAACTGGCTTGTGCTGGTCGTTGGCTACTGGACTGAACTACAGCACTATGACTTGGATTCTGGAGTGGCCTGGTACCAGAAAAGAGCTTAGAACCAAATTGAAGCCTACCGTTATGGGGCTTGAAAAGAGTCAGGCTACTGGGCTGTGCCACAGACATAGCTGCCCTGTGCTGGTTGCTGTCCACTGGAATGGGCAACAGAATGGCTGGCCTGAACTAGTTGCTGGCTGCTGGGCTGAGCCACAGACAGGTCAGTGGCCTGTGGGAATTGCTGGCTGCTGGCCTGGGCCACAGATTGGAAGTTGGCTTGTGCTAGTTGGCTACTGGGCTGGGCAACAGACTGAGAGCTGGCCTGTTCTAGTTGCTGGCTGGTGGGCTGGGCAATGGAATGGGCAACAGATTGGCTGGCCTGAACTTGTTGGCTGCTGGGCTGAACCACAGGCAGGTCAGTGGCTTGTGCTTGTTGGACACTGGGCTGAGCCACAGGTGGGTAGCTGGCTTGTGCTAGATGGCTGCTGAACTGGGCCACAAACTGAGAGCTGGCCTGTTCTTGTTGGCTGCTGGGCTGAACCACAGGCAGGTCAGTGGCTTGTGCTGGTTGGACACTGGGCTGAACCACAGATGGGTAGCTGGCTTGTGCTAGATGGCTACTGGCCTGGGCCACAGACTGAAAGCTGGTTTGTGCCGGTTGTTCACTGCTAGGCTGGATGACCTGTGCTAGTTGCTGGCTGCTTGGTTGAGCTACTATTTCATAGCGAGTTTGTACTGGTTGCTGGCCACTGGATTGGGCTAATTGCTGGTGGGATGACGGACTCATAAGTGCATAGCTAGCCTGAGCTAGCTGAGGGCTGTTCAACTCACTGCTGTGTTGCACTATTTGGTAGCTAGGCAGTGACAGGGATTCATTTTTGGGGGGCAAAGTCTTGAAATAGCCAAAGCTTGCATCCTGAACTGGCCTGGAACCTGAAAAAAGCCTAGAACCAGTTTGCCAAAGTCGATCTCACTGAGGCTCAAGGGGCGCTCTATTTGACTGACTTGCAGACTTGGAGCTGGCCTGTGCTAATTGTTGGCCACTGGTCTGGGTTAACTGCAGGGTGCTAGACTGGGTCATGGTTCCAGAGCTGGCTTGTTCTGATTGCTGACTGCTGGATTGGGAGACGGTCTGCACTAGCGGTTGACTGCCGGGCTCTGCCACAGAGTCATTGCTGGTCTGCAGAGGAATTTGGTAAATTAGCTGCTCTGGCTTAAGAACAGAATCACTACTTTGCTGCAATGGCATCAAGACCATGGAAGAACGGATAGTGTCAGAGCCTTGAACACTAACTGACCGACTTACACCATACCCTGACATGCCCATACCTGCTGCACTACCCACAAGACTACCACTTCCAACTGAAGCACGTCGAGAGTCCTGTACCTGCTGCACTACCCACAAGGCTACCACTTCCAACTGAAGCACGTCGAGAGTCCTGAAGCTGGCTTCTAGCATCTGAACCAGAACTTCCACTTGTCACTGGACCACCTGAAGAGCCAGTCTGAGAATGGTAGCTTCCAGAACCATAGCCTGCCTTAACTGCAGCACTATAAATTATATTCCTAGAACTCCGAGGCCTGATTGGTCCAGCAACATCTCCTGGGCCATACCTGGTGTAAAAACTTAGTAGTTTAACATCATCCTGCATGGGTCAAACATCTTTTGGGATATCAGGGTTATAATATCCAGGATTGCCTGCATTGCTGACAAAGCTATAGCCATCAACTGCAACATAAAAACAAGAGGCATCAAAGACAATGTTGACAAGGTTCAGTTACATAAAATTTTACTACATAAACTTACCAGTCCAAATGCTGTCATGAACACCAAGGCTTAAAAACACTGCCAAAGAAAAACTGTAAAACACTTGGTGTTAGGAACTGCAAAACCCCCCCTTAAAAAACAAAAACAAAAAACACCTTTAACTGGTTTTAATAAATCTTAGAAAAATTAACCAGCAAACCCATAAACTAAACATACCTTAAAAAGTGCATCGTAATAGTATCCATATGAAGCCAAAACTATCATCAACAACACTCAGTACAACAACTACGAAAAATAAAAACCTTTTACCCAACCATGTAGCTTTATTACTAATTTTTATAGTGCCTGCCTCTACCACTCACCAATCACAGTTTACTAGATTATTATCTCAGACCAATCAGTTGTCACGGCAACCTCTAATGGCTTATTATTAGTTTCAAGTGTCATAGTATGCCAATTTGGTTGGTGCCATTTTTTTATATTGTGTTTAAAAAAAAATGCATTCATTTAGTAATGCTGATCTCAAATGTTCTTCTTGCAATATTGGAGTGATGATTTGGAATGAAATATGATTTGTGTTGTGCGAATCAACAGATTCTCAAATGAAAAATAAAAAAAGTTTCAAGTGGCATAAGAACTAGATATTCTGCACGTCACTTAATTTAAATGTATCTTTATGGTGAACTGCATGCCAGCAATGGATCAGTTTAGCTCTGTTGTGTTGGAAATATATCCATCATGAGGAAATGCATGATAATAGAAAAAATCTTGCCGTATCATTCCTGTGAGCTTTCCTGTTGTGAAAGTTGTATTCAAAATAAGACCCTCTTCAGCTCATGCTACCATTTTATTCTGCTGAATGGATGTTTCCAACATGACGTTGTCAATACTGCTGCAGATTGGAGCTATCAATAGCTTTTTCCATTGGTGGGGTGTGTGTCAGCATTGTTTACACTGATGTACTGCTATTTCAGCATGTCTGACTCATTTTGTATTTATTCCCTGTGTAAATATTCTTGCTTTTTACAAGGTTAATAAACCCAAGGAATTTGTTCCGCCACTGTTAGAAGCGGAATATAGTATAACTTATTTAAAGCGGTTATGAACTGAGAAATCAAAATTCGCTTGATCGTTTGACATATAAGAGGTCATATAAAAACATCATGTAAGTTTCAGAAATCAAAACTTTCTCATTAGTCTAAAAACAGCTTATATTGAAGCCAATCTGCCAAAACGACAGCTTGTGGAATGTGCTGCTCTATGACATAATAGAGCGAGTAAACCCTGCCTCTGCAGAAGATCAACGCCTGCTTCTACATCACTGCCTGTTTAGCTCCGCCCACTGATTCACACACGTAGTAGTGATGAGAAACCGAGACTTTCTGAACCGTTTGAGGCTTTCATCAAATTGTGCCGAAAAACGGTTCATTACTCGAAGCTTTTTAACACAGTGCGCATTAGCGACATCTGGTGGTCAGACTCGGTTTCTCCAGCCTATCTAATGAAACATGCGGAGCAGAGGATGGTTTGAATTTTTTTTAAATCTGTGCCAACTCGTGTCATGCGTAGTCCGGTCAATGGATTCACATATTGATCAATAATATAAAATATACAAGTGTGTGATTATAATTAATAAACTGACGTGAGTAGTAGCAAAAATATTTTGGGTGAGCTGTTCAG